AATGTTACTGTTACTGCAGTTATGGCTTCCCTTGTTCGACCATTTAAGTTTTACGTAGATAATGTCACACAGCCACGACTACTGTCACGCGAGGTGTCAAGGCGAAAGCGGCGTCGTGTTGAAGTTGATTCTCGGTGTACACACCCTGAGCTCTGTCCTCAAATGTTAGTCGATCTCTGTTTTAAGGCGGGTGCCGTCAAACCAGAAAATTATTTCTGCATTCATCGGTTCACTGGACGAATAAGGGTAACGCAAGACTTTGTCTTCAAGGAAGGTGAAGTATTTGATTTACAAATGCGCGTGACGGACAGCGACCCAAGGGGAATAACCGAAAACACAGCCAGAATCAAACTCATTTCTGGTGACCCGTGTAGGAACGTCCTAGCAATTTATGATGAAGCCGTGAAATATTGTATCAAGAATTCAGAATCTGTCAATGGAGGAAAGAAGTGCTTGAGTATTCAGTGCACAGAGACTGCCCATGAGTGGAAAGAAGCACTTAACAGTGCAAGTAAAGTACCAGAGAAAGACTGTTCAGCTGATCCCCATAATCTTACACTGCTCATCCGCGAATACCCACGTTGTGGTAAGTATTCACGTGTTGTACAGTCTACTCTATCTCCTGGTCTTTTCACGCAACACGTGTTCTCTCTCAGAGAGCGCGTTGCGTAACCAACAAGCAAAGACTTCGAAGGAGACTGGAGTCGACTCCCAAAAACAGTAACTTTGAAAAGTATCGATGGATACAGTTTGTTACTCTCCCCTCCCCTACCCCCTTCCCTTTGCCGTCCACACTAAATGTCCGAAAACACTGATGAAAGCGACAGAGTGTTGTTTTTCACGTCACCATTTTGAGAAGCATCCGTTTTTACTTGTCCACAGAAGAAATTGGGCGTTTTCAATAGACTCTACTTTTGAAATCGTCTTGGACAGTGTTCATTTTATTCCCCTTCATCAGGTGTTTCGGTGTGGACGAAAGAGAATGGGGCTATATTCACCATAAG